TTATATGCCTTTTCAGGTGTCTAGCACTCAATGAGTCATGTCATAGAGTGACCACATGTAGTCGGTGCCTACACTCAGTGATTTTAATTGACAGTTACAAGGGCAGTTGTGTTGGTTGTGATGGAGAAGCCTTTCATTGGGGTATTGGGTGTGTCACCAACTTGACCTGGAATTACCCTGGTACTCTGAACACTCACCGCAACTGTGGCGAAATCAGGTTGAAGATATCATTTTATGACTTGAAAGGAAGGCAGAGCTGAGACTGTACTTTGCTAAAAAGCTGTGTGCAGACCAAGCTGCAGTAGCTGGGATAAAACACAAAGCTGAAACTTAATCTCTTTATTAGCAGTGAAGGCATTCAATTTTCTGTCATTGTCCATGAAACACCTTAAGGTATTACAGTTTTACTGTGGTTTTAAGGAGCTCCATAGAATGTTTTTCAAGAGACTTGACTTCAGTTTACGGTGTTGCTATGGATTAAATTTTTTCCACTGAAAGTTGTGCAGTAAAGACACATGAATGTGACACTAAATATCCTGAACAGAAATATATGTAGTAAGAGATCAGTGTGTCAGTAAATACCCGGCTGCATTTTACTCCAAGAATTTCAATGTTTTATTAGTTTTCTTTTCACCAGCTTATTGGTCCCTTAGCAAAGACTGGGATATTCTAGCTATTAAAAGATTTCACAGGTAATGCAGTGATGTTTTTGCTTCATTTATCACCAAATTGAAGTTGTAGAAGGATTATTTATGCACATTTAACGTCTGAAAAGGTGTCTACATATCTCGAGGAATAACAGAACAAAATACATCTCTTGTATTAACAAATAAACCTCGCTAAAGAAGTTCAGTTCGAGCTATATGTAGATTACAACTACTAACATGTAGTCATCTACATATTCTTCAAGAATAAATTTGAGTACTTAAATATCAACCTTACACCAATAGCTTCTACAAAGCTCTTCTGTGTCCCTCTTTTTTTCCATCTAAATTGAATCAGTTTCCATGTAAAAAATAGAGGAAAAAATGTATTACAAAATTGTTTTATTTTCAAATGAAATACAGCTTGTTGCACATTTGATGGTATACTACTAGGCTGTCAAACATGTTTTTCATTTGTTTTTCTGAAGTTATTTGGTTTGGCACTGAATTTGATAGAAATATTTATGCCAGTAACAGACTTCATGATGCTCAATGCAACCTATTGTGTCTTATATGTTCACCCCCTAGTGGATGATCGTGGTATCGACTCATTTCTGTAAATTCCACCATAAATCTCAATCCATTTCCATGCTGAATCACATCCAGTGCACCAAAGCCAAATGAAATTCACAATATCTCCATATGTTTCCAAATGTCCTCATTGGATGCCAATTTCTACTATAATTAATAATTTACTATTGTTACAGCAATTAACATATTTGGTAATCTTGTAAACTGTAAACACAGACTTGCTTTCAGATGTTTGGATAGTCTGTTCTCTGTCACTAAAAAACTTTGGTTAAAAGACACAAGACACCACAAGAGGGTTGTCTGTGTTTCTGGTTTTTGGAGAATTAGTGGTAATGTTAGCAATAAAGCATGCTAAAATTAGTTAATCTCTTTTGCTGTCATCCCACCACCAACCCGCTCCAGCTGTCTGTCTCAAACCTCAACCCTTCAGCCTACAGAGAAGGCAGTCCATAATCTTAAGTACTGTTTAGTGGACCTGTGTAAATTTGACACCATTATGCCACAGAGAAGGTCTATGTAGGTGTTAATGTTAGTGTGGGAGGCTGCCAGAGATCGGCACAATCCCTGCTTACTTCATTAAGTACTGCCCAGAAAAATGTTGCTGTTTTATTACTTCATGCTGACATTCTTTTCCCTCTCTGCTTCTTTTGGATTTTTTGACTTTTTCCTAGCTTCTTTGTAAACACGTTAAATGTTTCCCTCCCTCCCGTCCCCCCATCTACTATTCTTCTTGTTCCTAAGAAGTAATTAAGTAACTACAACTGTATATGTGATCTTATTCTAAATTAGGAGTTGTGGTGGATTTAGTGATGTGGTGCTGTCTCTTGATATTTTCCATCAGGATCAAGGATTAGCTCACATGCCATAAACTGGGGTTTGATCTGAAGCATAGACCAGATTTTTGGGTAAAGTCCGACTTTGAACTTTAATGCTTGCCAGTCCGAGTCAGTGAACTGCAGTGCACTTGTAAACCTTGACTGTAAATTACTGTAAACTTCTGGGCTTTTTATTCTTTAAACATATTCTGCCAATAACTCTTTAGAATATCATTTAACTAAAGAATTTTGAACCAAGTCCCTGTTTTCATTCACTTATAACAGCTACTGTGTTTTTCACGACCCACTTCAAACTGGGATGGAAGTATGTTATGTGTGGTGGCACTGGGGGCAGGGTGCAGAGGTTTTCTGAGCTGATTCTATCTGGCTCCTTATAATTACAGACAGTAAACGGCTAATGCTTTAAGGACTATTTTCCCCATCCGATGATGGATTAGCAGTTGTGTTCTCCTCCATCAGGGTATGTTACTTTTACTCTGATATCAGCATCCAGTTTGTCCATTTTTAAGGATTGATTGACCATCCAGCAGCATGTCTTAAAAGTTTGAGCGAAAATCCTTCAAGACAGGAGGAGTTACGGCCACTTTCTGTTTTGTGGCGAATGAATTATCAGGAATTCCTGTGGGCTTTTGAACATGGATGACTGTCAATTGAACACAATTTTAATCATATATCATACATGGGGGAAGCAGAGGAGTCACTCAATAATCCCCAGTTTCTTGTCTGAGTGGGTGGGACTTAAGTGATTGCCACGATGATCCACAAAAAATCTTTTGCAGATAGGATGAAGCTTCAGGGAGATATAGCTGGAGTAAAATTCCAAAATTATCCTATTGGCCTCTTTAGAGGTTAAGAAAGGTCGTTCATATTCAGTTTGGTGCAAATTGGATGATGCATTTGTGATTTAGAGTCAACCATATGCAAACAATGAGGGATTGAAATTCACCATTCAGTCATGCCTACAAACTAAGATTATGTCACCATTTGACCACGTGAATATTATGAGTCTGGTCTGTTATGACACACAGAAAATGCAATGTAGCCGGGCCCTTGCATTTGGAGATTTTTCACCTTGATGTGTAATGACAAATTCTCAGATTTGAGGCTTGGTCACACCAGATGCTTTGATGCAGCAAAACCTTTTAATAATTTTTTATCTCCAATGTCAGTCTAGTGCCAGACTTTGGAGTGATTCAAAAGTCTGCATGTCAAAAGTTGTAAGAGGAGTTTGTTCAGACACAGCATATTTGAAACAGACAAAATGGCAGCTTTGATTCAAAATGTCTGACTTATTATTGGGTTTGGACCATAGCTCCACAAGACTTTTTTATATGTTCTTGGAAGATACATGGGTACCAAATTTTATTATTCTTGGTCAAAGTTTGGGACCGATTTTTTAATGGTTCTAGTAGGAATCCAAGAGTCCACTTCTGAACGACAAAAGCTCTAAAAAACTGAAACGTTAGGGTGGTCAGACAAAGTCTGAAATTAATTGCGATCTAAATATCTTCAGCATTACATTAAATAGACAGATCATGCTTGAAAATGATCTGCTGGGTCCAGCTCCTTTGAATTTAATTGATTCTTCAAAAAGTGATGGGTCAAAATTGCTTCATAGTGATGTAAAATACATACTATAAGTTGGTTGCAGTTGTTACCTACAGGGACAGTGGGACAGATTATTAGAGGGGGAATAGCCATTTCAAACAAGATCAGATGGCTTTGGATGGCTAAAGTTAGCATTTGAAATTAAATTTTTTATTTACATCTGAGTGGATAAATTATTTTATTCTTAATCGGTCAGAAAGTAGGTAGGCTAAGCCATCATTCATTATATAGAAGTCAAACAATCTTCATCAGTAGAGACAGAGAATCTGCATGACAACACATGAGAATAAATATTATTGAGAATCTGTAAAAAGACTATGTTGGAACATCATTTAACTAATGCATCGTTTCTTCCTATTCACCGTTAAAACACAAGACTAGCTACCCAGCCCATCATAATTACAGACAGTAAAAGGCTAATGTTTTTAAGTCTATTTTTCCCAACTAATGTGGAGAGACTTCATTTGAAGGAGAGGACAGAATGGACAAAGATTTTGAAACTTTATTCTGGGTGTTGTCCATGGAAGCAGCTTGCAAAGAGCTAAAGTAAAATTAGGTTTATAGATGCACAAGTACATAGAGACAGACATTGTCCCCACCCCGTGAACCTAAAACAGACACAAATACACTCATGAGCAACGTTCTTTTGATGTGATTTCTCTCACAGAAAGTCTTAATTAGCATTTACAACAACCTCAGGTTGTATTTGTCATTTTTCCCCCATTAACTTTATGCCTTGAAACTTCATAACTGGTCTTATGTCTCAGTCTGAGTGTATCCGAGTCTCTATTTCTGTCTGCCTATGTCATGTCAAATTATTCCTGAACAAAGTTAGTCAGTTCTCCCCATTTTGTTTTTCTTCTTTATTTGTGCTTTATATTCTCATCTGCAGCCACTCTTTCTATCTCAAATGTGATTCTACCAATTTCATCTTAAGTATAAAAACTAAATCTGGGACAGTCAAAAGATGTAAAACATTAAGATTAGAAAAGATTGATACAGTGATAAATGCTACCTCTCTGTTTCTCCACTGTCCAGATTCTTCTTGTCCCTGTCTGCCTTTCCTGTAGTTCGCACTGGTACGCTTTGGGATGGGAGTTTTTCTTTTTTTTTTTTTTTTTTTTGGCAGTCTGCTACCCCTCTTTCTGGCTGGGGCAGGCCCTGGAGCGTGCTACTGCCTGGGAGTGTGGAAGGGAAACCGGGAGGTAGTCAAGGAGGAGAGAAGGGATGGAGGGAGGGGGGGTGAGCTCAGAAGGAGGGAGACCAGAGGGGAGGAGGCGTGTCTTGTGTTGGTAATGAAGTCTTCTCCTTTCATCCTCAGACGGCAGAGTGTGAGCGGACGGGCCTGGGGTCTGCGCTGCTCCACAGCCCTCCCTGTCTGTGAAGTGTGCCGAAAGCGTCTCCACTCTGCAGCGTTTATGCGTCCCAGCTCCCGTCTGCCGCAGCTAAATGACACAAAGAGGCCGAGACTGAGACAAACCGCTACAATCATGAGTCTTTTGCTTGTGTTGGCTTTACAGAAAAACCCTTGAGGTAAGACTTCCTTATTCGTTACTCCTGCAATTCTCTATAACTGTGAACTGTGTTGCTGTCTGCCCAGTCTGATTGTTGAAGTGGGGGGCACAGAATGGGTGGTGGTATATTGGGGGCTGTACATCAGAAGTCACTCCCACTTAATACACATGTGTTTGTGTGTATTTACTCTCTACATCCATTTGTGAATTTTCTCATGAACATGCACTTCTGAACTTAGTCTAAGTTTGACAGTGAAAGACTTACTCTGACAATGATGAACTGCATCTTTGAAAGAAGGAAACTGACACATTCTTGAAAGGGGATGTCAAGATGAGATAATATACTGAGAACTTTGGTACTAATTAAAGGTTGAGTAAGTAATTCCCCAGTAACACACTTCATCCTTTTTAGCAAATGTCTGCATATGATCAACTTGTTGTCTAGTGTAGGATTTTTCATTTCCTGTAAATTGGATTAGTGATGTAAATCAGGCTTTAGAAAAAAAACTCAACCAGCAATATATGCTACATGTTTATTCTCCTGAAGAATTCTTATTCTTTTACACAAGGAGACTTCATTTAATTCTCTAAATATAGCTGTCTTTTCATTTTTATTTTTTATTTTTGTTTGTTTGGTAGCAGTGGGAGAGATAACTGTAAGTGGTGAATCTCTCTGTGGTTGTCCTGGTCAGAAGTGACAACGTGGGATGTATTATGAAGAACATTTTGAAATTGGTTGTGATACTGAATTAGGTCAGCAGGTCCACAGCTGACCGAAGGGAATATGACCAGAGCAAGATTCAGTGGACACAAACTAACTGACCTTTGGCACAAAGTAGGTTAGCTGATGATATTGTATTAATCCAAGGGGTATTTTTTATGTAATCTAGAATAGATCTTTCAGTCATGCCGGCATTACTGCTATATGAAACATTAAACAGAAAGCAGATTTATTTCATGTACTAAATGTTGATCAGTGAGAACTGATTTATTAGATGTTGTTTCTTGGATTTAAAATCAAAGAATTAGAGCATCATTTAAAATTCTGGCACTGTTCTCTGTATGTTGGCGTATAGATAACTATTATGTAGATCTAGATCTTTGATGCATCCCACATTTGATTAATGTGTGATGTGTTAGAATAAAGGATGTGGTATTAATAGTTTTCTATTTTCTCAGGACTCGGTACACTACTTTTGCCAGAAAATTAGCATATTTTTTTTCCACTTCTGAACAGCTCCACATGGTAGTTCTTATGCTCGATACAGAGCATCAGATAGTTCTCCAGTGGTATAAAATTAAAAGGAAATATGTCAGGATGCCACCTCAAGCACTATGAAGTTAGTGAATCTTCAGCAGAGTGGAAGTAGTGTCTGCATAGCATGGCATGAGATTAACTACTGTTAATATTGAGACACTGCTGCAAAATCTTAGTCCCAAAAATTTGGTTTAACTATAGATTAAACTGCAAAGACAGTAGTATTAGATGTTTTTACCTAAGGCAGTGTAACTTCCCACACCATTAAAATGTACAGCCCAGAGTCTAAAAATGGCTTTAAAGTGATTTATTCATTTTTTCCCTTCAGCTTCTATTCCTATCTAGAAAGTTGTCTTTCCTTTGTTTAATCAAGCTATGTGTATCATGTTGGTTAAAATTTGATGCCCCAGTAATGGGCTTCCATGAAGTTTGTGGCTGTAACATTTAAACAAAGACTTCTCTAAAGGCATGATGATTTAGGTCTTGTGTTCAAAAATCTGTTTTCTATATAATAAGTGGCTCCACCTTCAGGCCAGCATTTTTATTGCATAGGTTGCTTTTATTAAATACAATGTAATTGATGGTTGATAAAAGTACCAATATCAAACTCAACCACACTGTATTTTTGTGTGAGCTGTTAAACTGCATACGGGAGGTTAACAGTGTTTATTTGCACTACTGAACGCTGCTAAGGACAGACAGATGAGACAGCCTACTGGGATTCATCTCTGTAAATATAATTGACAAGAGGCATCTGCAGTCCAGTGACAACAGGCTTTGAAGTGAATTCGGTGGATCTGGGCAATCCAGAGCCGGCCTGTGGCCCACTTACTTTCATCCACATTCCCTGGGAAATCCATCCATGTGCATTCTCTCCTTCACCACCTTCCTGATCCTATTCACCCCACGGGTTGTTGTACCCCGACCCCCTCAGTGAGACCTTCCATTTCTATCAACACCTCCTGTAATCTTGTTGATGGTTTTCCTATAATTTTATTCTCCATCCTCCCTACTTTAACATGCTTCAAGGAAATGGATCTTTCCAATACCTCTCCCAGAAAGAAAAACCTAAGTGACTTTCCACTGCTTTCTGCCGGACCCTGAGAATTATGGTTTCCCAAATGTACAGGATCCAAGCTTAATTGAAAAAACACAAGTCTACCATGAAGGAGACGGTCCTTGTGTCACTGTGTTGAACTGAGCGAATGTACTTTCCAGAACTAGTGAGGGGAAGAGGAGGAGAAAGAAAAATACAAACTAGTTAGAAACAGAAACAGTTAGAGATGGAGGACAGACAAAAAGCTGAGGAAAAAATTATAAAATGAAAGTGTGGAAAATCAACGGGAATGCTGAAAAACATTGCTGCAGTACAAAGTGGATCTAGAGGCAAAGCAGATGAATCATCGAATTTCTTGTGATGGAGTCAGAGAAGGAAAAGGAAGCAATATATGAGGACCCTGAGTTTAGCTTTGTGTGTTTTCTCAAGACAGTTAAAGTTTATAAAATGGGATTTATGGGGGTATAATGGCAGAGAGGGGCCATCATGAGTGCTGGATACCAGCCTTAAAGCCCTAAAGAGAAACAATGGAACCTACAGTAAAACTTTGCCTGATTGCAGACTAGCTAACAGCAGCATCTCTCCCATGATTTTCACCTCAGGGAGTCCTCATAACATTTACACAAACTTAGGCAGTTTGTAGAGCTTGCAGTGCAGATCTAACAGAGCAGCTGAAAGACCATAACCCATGTACACAGTACTGAAAATGTCTTATCAGTTTTAGCCTTGCTATCTTTTACAGTGTCTGGTTCTACCCTTCCTGCTTTGCCTGTTTTTTCTCACCTCCTGCTGTGGCTCTCCCACTCTCTCTGGTATGCCTGTGTGGCAGCCCCATATGGTGATGATAGAGACTCTGTCATTGGCTAAGATGGCACGTTTGTCACACACATGTTTGCCAGCCGTCGCTGTTTCCAGGGCTTGGTAGGAAAGTATCTCTTGTTGACTTTCTCGCTGGGTGGTTCATTTGTTTGTCAGGGTAGTGTGACCCCTGGCCCTATCACCAGCTCATGCCTGTGACACTGCAAGTTAATTTAACTGTAGACCCTTAATCACTCCCTGTCATGGAAGAAGGTGCTCTGAAATCTGGCTTTCTGGCCTACATGCTAAATACTAGCCTGGCCATTGCCTTCCTGTGCAATTTTGCTCCAAAAAAAATTGTTACTTCCAGTACAGCTTGGGCTTTTTTCCCTTAATTCGCATTGCATCCGGTAGATTTTCTACCAGCCCAATGAGTGAACGAAAGGACTGCACTGACTCTGAACACACCACCAACGTGAAACACCATGGAGATGGCTGCATCATGATTTGGAGTACTACAGGGATTGGGAATCTGGTCAGAATTAATTGAGACTGAAACATTTAGCATACAGCCAAAGTTACAACAAAATAGTAACTTTGAAAGCACGATTGGTCATGTGTGAGGAATCCCAAAGAAACACATTGCAATTCATGATTTAGGATGAAATGGTTCAATGTGTATGAATAGCTTTGTGAAGCACTCTAATAAGATGCAAACTTTTTCTGCAGTGTAAATTGAAGGAAATAAAGTATGAAAGTTTTTGTTGCAGAAGCATAGTGTTCACTGAATGATGAAAAATGACTTAGTTTTGAACCATGGCAAAATTACTTTATAGACCATTTCCACCCACATGATGAGTAGAATTCCAGATCTGAAAACAGTGTAAGCAGAGAAAATGGATTGCACTGAGCAGTTTGTATACGAGACTCAGCTGGTATGTTAAACCTCTTCATTTCTCTCTACGACTGGAGCACTCATGCTCTTTTTCAGTTGATTTACTGAAGCTACAACTTAATTGATAGTATTTAATTCTTTGACGAATGCAGATGTCTAAAACTCGGTTATTCCTGTGTTGTTGTTTTATTTTCATTTTATTCTTCTTCTTCTTTTTTTTTTTTTTACTAGACTAGAGTTTGAAATTTGTTACCATTTCAAACTCAATGCCTCTGAGCTAGAGATGGTGGTGAGAACACCAACACTGTAGCCCAGAGTCCTTTGGGCCATCCTCCTCAGTTTGTGTGTAGCTGTGAAACTGATTTTCTAATCGACAACATTATGAAGAGATTAGAGTCTCATATGAGGACTGAAGGGTGTTAGCACTGTTGCCTTGCAGCAAGATGATCTTTGGATCAAATTTAGCTAAGAGTGTGTCTGTGCAAGCTGTGTGTCTTTGATAGACTGATGGCCTGTGCAGAATGCAACCTGGAAATAGGCACCACCCGCAAGTGGCTATAAACAATGAATGGATGAATGAATGATGTCTCAGTATCTTTTGCACTCTTATTCATACAAGAATAAGACCTCATTATAATCATAGTATTATGACTCTACTATAGTACTAACTCTACTATGATTAGAATCATAGTAGCGTTAAATAATAATAGTAAATATTGCAATAGAATTGTTGTACATTGTTTTGCGATGATGATTAATCAACATTTTTCCTCACTGCCAGTTTTCTCTACCAGCATCTTGATGCAGCTCGCTCTAAGCTTTAGCATCTCAGTCATTAAGATCTAATCCAGTAAAAGTCCTTCCAATTGGTATAACATATTATTGGCAAGTAGAGTTTGTATGCACAGCACATGAAATGTAAAGCTTTCCAAATACTCCATCCAAGGAGTTCTTTGCAGTACAGTACATTGTGAAGCTCCAAATAACAGGAATGCCATGCTGCCACATAGG